CTTTGTAAATGTACTCTATCTTATATTGAAATGGTTCAGGCCGGCATAAGCCCGCCGTAGCTCCGTCAAAAAGTAGAAGGAGAACAATACAATCCCCATTGTACAACAGCATTCAAAGGATTCAGAAAACATATTAGAACAAGGCCCCAACCTAATCTGCGCAGGCACAAGGAAACGAAGCCAACCAGTAAAGAGGAATGTAGATACAATACCAAGGTTAAATAACCAGAACACACAAACGGAACGCAGACAATACCATGTCAGCGAACACCAAGGAGCAGTAAATAATGTAGAAAAACAAAAGGAGGAAAAATTCAGGAATGCAGCACGGACCTTGACAGACAAGGAGAAGGGGCCGGACCAGCAGAGCAGTGGACGAAGATTAAACAGACGATGAGAATGGCAAAAGCATCCTGTGGTATATAGAAGAAATGCCTTAGAGGGGAAAATACAAATGAAAAGAACGTGTATAATAAGCAAACCACATTAACGATAGGCTAACTATGCTTGCAATCAGTAGAAATATTATTAGCAACTATTATCTATCCATTACTTGAATGGAACCATGAGTCACTTGCATGTACCATGGGCACCTTAGCCACAACTATAAATACTCTAGTCTCACCTAAAACATCACAAAAAGACAAACAAAAACACAACTGCTAATATAAATGCAGGCCCATGCACAACACATCAGCTGAATATTTCCAAAGATAAGCAAACAAATCTGATTCGTCGCAATGACAGAACCTGAAAATTAGTGAAACAAGCACGGAATTATTCTCTATAGGCACATGCATGGTTTAGAAATCATTTTTTCCCTAAAGCTAACCAAAGCTGTTGTCCTTTTTTTGGCCGAAGCTAGACCTGTGAGCTTGCAATAGAGATGCAGCGGATAAACCTAAAGATTCAAACAAAGGACCATCCATCAATTTTTTAAAGCTAATACCACCAAAACTAAATTACAACTAATCAATTTAGCCAACTTTACAGCTAATAATGTGATTTGATGGTCCTTTGTATAGATAATAAACCTAAAGATCAACGGATAAACCGAAAGATTCAAACAAAGGACCATGAAATCTGTATTGATAATAAATTCACCCAAACCAAATTATAGAAAAGCAAAGGATCAAACGGCCTAAAGATCGAAGGAAAGTCCGTCAACTTTTTATAACTAATCAATTTAGCCAAACTAAACTACATTCTTATCTACTCCAATGGAACACAGATAGAAGCAAACAAAGCCCATCAAATCAATTTAGCCAAACCAAACCACTTTCTATCTACTGTAACTGAACACAGCCCACATGCACGTTGTTTGACATGAAAAATAATAACAAACAACGATGGTTATCGTGTTACTATCTCTCTACGCGCCAGGGGAAATAAAAAATTGCGGGCGTGCCAGTGTACAAGGGGCTCCATCAGCATCAGCGTCCGTGTGGGAGGCGCCGTCAAAGTAGAGCTCCCACGGTGCATTGAGGTCGATGGTGAAGACCTTCTCGTCAGGAAGGTTGGTGATGATGTGGTGGCATTGAAGGGTGGAGCGGTATGTCCGTCAATCCGTCGATGCTTGGCTGTACCCCTCCGACTTGTCGATATCCGATGATGAAGATGTCTGGCCTCGTCAGCTCAGACAGATGGGTGGCCTTCGCCTCGTCGGTGCCCGGCCTAGTGTTCTCCACCTCGTCGGTCTCGGACTATGTGTGTCTTGCCTTCGCCTCGTTAGTGCCTGGCAAGATATGGGTAGTTTCATCAGAAGAGAGACATGTCGGTGAAGTGGCTTTGCCTCGTCGGAGCTTGGACGATGTTGGGGAAAGGTGTTGATGTAGAAGTCGGAGTAGACTTGAGTGTCGCCGTGTGGCAGCGTTGCTTGAAGATGACGACAATATGAGCACGTCGATGTAGACCTCGGGACGTCGCAGTTATGGGGACGACCTCCGCTCGGTGTAGACGCGCGGTTGGCATCGAAGAATGGCAGCGTGCTGGTGTAGTCGGCGTCCTCGCCAGATGAAGAGTTGATGAGGTTGGAGACCGATGCACCGTGTGATGTAGTCGAATGGCGGCATGTCGGTGTAGTCGGCGTCCACGCTGGGAGTAAAGCCGATGAAGATGGTGACGGCATGTTGATGTAGCGGTCCTCCTGGTCGAGCCAGGAGTTGATGTCAATGGCCCCGGCGTAGTCGTGGGTGCTAAACGTGGAAGTTGTAGAGGATGGCTCGAGCGCCGCGATTGCTGAGTGCTGTGACATGTTGATGTCGCCCACCAGATGATGTCCGTGGAGACACATCTAGTTCTTGGTTTGACTTGAACGCCATGTTGGATTAATTGATGCCATACACGTGCGTAGGTAGACATCTCTTGGCTGGTTGAAAACGTCTACATGTGGATGCCAATGAAACTTCACAATTCCTGCCTCGGCATGACCTTCGTTGGCGCGTGTGGCCGCTGCCTCGGGGCGCATGCGTGTAACTGCCGCCATTTGCCATCGTGAGGGAGACAACGTGGATTGAAATGGAGTGCATCTCATGCAAGGAGATGTTTGATGAAGACATGAAGTAGACAAAGGGCAAGCCGTAGTCCACGGCTGGGCCGGATCGCTAGCTGGCAGCCCCATCGTGTAATCTTCATATTTGGCGAGGTAGTGTGAGGCAAGCTCCGATCGTTACAGCCACTGTCTCCATGGAGGTTCCATCGCCCGCTCGTCGGATGCACCATTGAGGTAGATGGTGAGGACGCCAGGCTGCACGCCGGCGGCCCCGGTGACAACGCCATGAAGGTGGACATGGCGCGGGGGTTGTATGCCGGCATGTTGGATATGGCGCCCGGCTGCGGGCCGGCAGCTTCGACGTTGTTGTGGCGGTGTAGATGGCACCGGGCCGCATGCCGGTTGTACCTTCAATGTCGCCGCCGAGTTGGAGTTGGCGCCGAGCAACTCACCGATGGCCTCGCCGCCGTCGACGTCATGGCGCCTGGCGCGTCCATGCAGTTGCAGTCGTCGAGGCGTCTGCTGTCGGTGTAGATAGGAGAATGCATAGCCGGGTACTTCAGGATGCAAGTGTTGGTGCAGATTGAAGGGAGCTTCGCCAGTTCATTCTCCGGCGCACGTCCTTCTTTGCCATGCAGGGTGCCGTGACCGCCGGCGGGTCATCTGCGACGGTGTGTCCCGGCTACGCCTGTTCCCACGATGGGGTTCTCCTTGGCACGGTGCTCGCGGCCTCATCAGCGCGTGTACTCACCGCCTCCTAGTTGTGTGTGTGCATCTCCCCGTAGAGTACTCTGTGTCAGTCGCTCCTCGGCGCTGCTGATGCGGGTTCACCTCCATCTTGGTATCTCCTCGCTGAAATGAGAGGTGAAAAGAGAGAAGTAATAGTGTGATGATTGCCATTGATGAAGATGGATGCGTGTGGCAGCCATATGAAAGAAGGTTTCGTTGGGCTCGCTGACGGGTCGTCTCGGATGCCGGCGTGTCATCCGCGGATGTCCTGTCTACCGAGCGTGTGGTCCTCCTCGGCGCGGTGTCCACGGCCTCCGGTGGCGCGTATAGTCACGGCCGCCGTCGGTGCGTATAGTCGTGGCCTCTTCGCTCCTTCTGCGTGCGAGACCTTAAAGCAAAGACGAACATAGCTAGACTATGGAAGCACTCAGATGCATCGCATCCACTGGAGCATGTGTTGCCGCCGCAGGTCCGTCCATCGAGTCTGGCGTACAGATCGAGCCAGAGGACGTGGCCCGTCATCACCGTGATGCTTTGCTTCTGGACTCATGGGGTTGGCCGTCGCCACTGCGATAGGCACATCCTCCGTCGCCGTCGGACAGTGCGAGAGACATGTGTGTTGCCCGGCGAGCTGGCCGCCGTCGTGGGTGCGTCCTCTCCATCTCCTTGACGCTGTAGCACATGTTGTCTCTCTCCGCCAGGGCGCGCTCTATGCATTGTC